TGACTATCGCTTCAATTCATTTTCATGTGTATGGGGCCTCACCAATTGTTATGATGCAAGAATGCACCTCTCCTGAGCATGTGTTGACCTGCAGTCAGACACATGCGAGCTCGGTTCTTTTTCAAATTCATGCTTGTTAACCTCCTGCCAGTGAGGGCTGCGGCTACATAGTTACACGTTGTTCTAGTTCCGTGATTGCTGTTTATATTTTTTGTCTCAAATGGGAGTCTTATATTCTTTTTCTAATTGTAGATATTAAACATGCATCATGTTTTGATACAGTTAAATGATTAATTAGTAGTCAAGCAAATTCATATTTATTCTATCATCTCACAGATGTCACTAGTGTGTGTGTTTGTGTGTGTGTGTGTGTGTGTGTGTGCGTGCACGCGCGCGCATGCGTACTCACATGTGAAAAGTACTGGAAACCTAGGCATGGTAGCACAGGACTGTAATGTAAACTCCTTGAGAGGTAGAGGCAGGAGAATCATGAACTCCAGGCCAGTTTGGGCTACATAGCAAGAAAAAGTCGATAAAGACCACAGAGTGAGACCTCTGGGCCTTGCTCGCATGAACCATGGAGGTGAGGCTGTCCGGCTCCTGCTTTGGAATGTTCCCGGATGCTCACAGCTTCTGGGAGGTGGAAAGGGAGTGGATTCACTGTGGGAACTCCATGGGTATTATCTCTCAATTGTCTGTAAACTGCAAAAGTTTGCACCTGGTCAGCTCCATTTATTGGCGCTCCCTCCCCGGCACAGCCACACACAGAGACATTTCTCCTGCTTTCTTCCTGGCAAAGCCCCTCATCTTCACAGACACACTTCCTGGGTTAGTAAGGCTGTGACTTACTGAAATTTCCCGGATGTGCTCAGGAGACTCAGGGATGAAATTGCCCATGACATTCGGGCCCCAGTTCTAATCCAAGCTTTATGGAGGGCCCTCTAGAAAAAGAGAGCCCCTGCTTAGATCAAGGGATTAGAGCCCCTACCCCCCTTGGGGTTTAAGAGGAGGTCTGAGCCCGGCTATAGATGAACTCACTGCTGAAATCTAATGATTTCTTGAGGCAGAACTAGGTTTATTAAATCTTGGACAAGTCTCTGTTGCTTTAGCAGCAGGCAAATTCCTATAGATTGTGGCAACAGTCTCTCTCTCTCTTTCTCTCTCTCTCTCTCTCTCTCTCTCTCTCGTGTGTATGTGTGTGTGTGTGTGTGTGTGTGTGTGTGTGTTCACACTCCTATATCAGCCTTTATTTGAGCCTGGCAGGATATGTTCAGGTGTATAATGTGTGATCACACACCTTCTTATGTGTCAGAAAGAAAGAAGGAAAAAAAAAACCAAGGAGGCTTGGCGGCTTGTATTCAGAACTTGTGTTCAGCAAGTTTTTGAGCAGCAGAGAACACATTTATTGAGAGATTAATGATGCAGATTCTCACATGTAGTGGAGAAACGTATCTTTCTCTGTTACAGCGCTGTGACAAACATCCTCCTGTCCTACCGGGAAGACCTCATTCCTTCTCCTGTGAGTCATTTGCGATCCACCCCTCCTCTGAGATAAGACACTGCTCAGGACGGCTTTGATCTCAGGCGTTCTTACAGGGTCAGTCTCCAGAGTCACGCAGAGGCCGTGTCTCATAGTGTCTCCCACAAAGATCACAAACTCACCGTTAACCTGTTCCTGTCCACTGAAGCTCTTACTAGAAACTGCAGCTATGAAAAATCAGAGATCCTGTGTGAGCCCCTTTGCAGGCTTTCTTCTTTATGTGAATGTGCATGTATGTGTGCTTGTGCATGTTCATATACGAACATGTACATGTGTGTGAGGGTCTATGTGGAGGCCAGAGGCCAACCTCAGTGCTGTTCTTGGGGAGCTGTCCACCTTATTTTGAGAGACAGGGCTAGGCTGAGTGACCAATAAGATCCAGGGATCTTCCTAAGTGTGCTATTATACCTGGCTTTTCATATAGTCTGGGGATTTGAACTCAGGTCCTCATGCTTGTGTGCAGGCACTTTACTACTTGAATGATCCTCCAGCCCTATCGTATCTATATTTAATACATGTGTATGTGTGTATATTAGTGCACACATGCCAAGGCACAGGTGTGGAGATCAGGGACCAACCTTGGGCCTTGGGTGTCAGTCCTTGCCTTCCGTCTGTTTGAGGCAGAGTTTCTTGTTCACTATTGGGAACTCCAGATTAGATGGCTGGACTTGTGATCCATCTGGACATACAGGCACTTTTGTGTGGGTTCTAGGAATTAGAAACTCAGGTCTTACAGAAAGGGGGTGGGATGGGAGAGGAGATGGGGAGGAACTTCAGAAAGTGGAGGGAGATAAACCCATAATCAGGATATATTATATGAGGAAAAAAATGTCTTTTCAATAAAAAGGGGGAGGGAGAATCTCTGATCTCATACTTGACAAGTTGAGCCCCTGGGTTGTTTCTCTAGTCCAATTCTTAGATTTATTTTATTTATTTATTTATTTATTTTTTTTAGTATACAGTTTGCAAGAACTTCAGAGAGAAAGGCTTTGGGGATTTTTCCCAGATACTGAGCCATTCTGATGTTGAAGCGATGGTTCAGGAAATTAAACCCAAGGCTTCAGGGATTCTAAGCTACCAGTGATAGGCCCAAATTTCATTTTAATTGTCGCCTAACTATGAGCTTTATTTATTGCTATTGCTTTATCCACACTCACCGGAAAAAATTATTTGTATAAGTATTCTTTATATAATTAATATAACTATATCATATACATTAACTATATACATTATCTATAAAGTATGTTAATATATAAATGGTTATGTAAATAATTTATACAGATATAGTTATAAAATATAAAATGTATAATAAATATGTTTATTATATGGAACATTTTATACCTATAATCTGCATAAATTATTTGTATAGTCACTTATGTTTTATACTTTGTTCTTAACATTTTGTATAATAAAATGTCTTATAATAATTTGTTATATAAAATTTACATAAATAATATATTATGCTCACTAGCACTTCATTCTTAGCTATATCATGGAACACTCCCCTGACTTCTTCATGTTTTAATAGTTTATGATATATATAAATGATAATATGATATATATTTAATTATAAGAGTCACATTTTTCTTTGGTCAACTCTAGTCTACTGAGAAACGGTGTCTCTTGGAAATGAGGTTTGAAGCTGTGGAATCAGACGTACTCAAACCTGGCCCCATACACTGCCAACTTCTTACCTCTGTACATTACTTCACTTGCCAGTGTTACAGGCTTTCGGTCAGCGTGTGATCCTCACGGTGTCAACCCCTTCAGACGAACGCTGTGCAGGACAGCCATGTGACATAGCTACCCCAGGGCAGTGCAGGAAGCTAGTTCAGCTGGTGACAATCATCAGTGCCCTTCATATGCTCCTGATGGTTTTCTGTCCTGCTTTCTCACCCATGCTTCCAGAGAGTCCTTTGTCACCCTGAGGTTACAGAAACATTTGACCACGTTTTCCTTAAATGTATGTGTCTTTGCTTTCGTCATCGAATCCTCTTCTTGCTAATTTAAATGGTAGGCTTCTTAAATCTGTGTTTCTTTTCTCCCCCCCCCCCAATCCCCCCAGAGCATCTCACACATTCCGAAATTGTTCTGAATAGCCAAGGACAATGTTGAACCTCTGACCCTCTGCCTTCTCTCTGCTGGGTTTATATGACTGAGCTATAATATCTAGTTTATTCAGTACTGAGAATTAAGCCTAGGTTTTCACAGATACTGGATAAGCACTCTATCAACCAAGCTGCGTGTTCAGGCCCGTCTATCCTGTATTTTATTTCTTCTTGAATTGTTGACAAATGTAATGGCTAACAGCTTTGCTTAATATAACTGGCTGAGACAGGACCTTATACTACAGCACTGGTTGTCTGTCCTCACACTGGAATCCATCCTCCTTTCTTGGCCTCCAGGGCTACGACACAAAGCCGCTATGCCTCGTTGCTTAATTTTCAATGTATATTTTAATATTGTAAGATCACATTTTTTTTCTGCTATTCACCTTATTCAAATTTCCTTTTCTCTTTTTTCCTTTTACCCTTCAGTGGAATTCTGGAGATGTTTGGGAATTCGGCTGGTATAAAATTTAGTGAGAACATGAAAATGTTAAGTGTCCAATATGAGAACATCAGATGTCTCCTAGTTTGTGTAAACCTCCTTTCCTGCATCTCAGAACGTCTTGGGATTTTGCTTCTTTCTGTACCGAACTGGCTAATCCATTCCCCAGCAATCTTACTTACATCGTGGTACACATCCGCTTTCTCATCTTCTGTTCCTGTTGTCAGTGATATTCTCAAACGAACGCACACACCAATCAATCTGCAAATACTCGATTTTTCATTTAATTACTCGAAATAGTCAGCACAGACGTTAAATGGTGCGTTTTCAGAGCAAAAAGGCGTCCCTTTTTATTTCATAATTATTTTAATTTTACATGTCAGTGACTATAAAGTTGATGAAAGTCTATTTCACCCCACTCTGCCGATAAGAAATCGAGGGTATCTAGTGGCTACGTTATCTACCTCAGTCCTGGTTAGGGTTCAAGCCCCTGCCCGGCGTCAGTTCTGCCTGAAAGGTTCAGATCCAAGAAGGAAATTGAAGATCTTTGCTAAATTTCAATTTCCTTGTTTTCCCTCCGCTTGAAGGTTCGGCCTGTCTCGCCGAGTCTCGCCACACGGCGGCGCAATATGCACGCGCTGCGGGACCTTGGCGTCCAAGTTGCCCAGCAGTGGACAGCAGGTGTCAGCAGACGGCAGCGGCCAAGTGCAGAGAAGGTGTCCGACCAGCGGGAGGGGCTGGAGCGGCCAGGAACTCCGCGAAGCAGCCTTAAAGATGCAAAGTAGGCGCGCGAGGGTTGAGCCAAGCCATAAAAAGTGGCGGAGAGGGCGGGAGCAGAGCTGGTCACTGGAGGGCCCGGGGCGACGGGGCGACGGGACGATGGCCGTGGCTGTGCTGCTGTGAGGCACCCAGGGGACCATGAGGGACAATGGCAGCGCCCTGCTCAATGCCTCTCAGCAGGTACCAGGCAGCGGGGAGGATGGGCGGCCGCGGCCGTCGTGGCTGGCGTCTACACTGGCCTCCATCCTCATCTTCACCATCGTGGTGGACATCCTGGGCAATTTGCTGGTCATCCTGTCTGTGTATCGCAACAAGAAGCTCAGGAACGCAGGTAGGGGCTCCCAGCACGTCTCCCAACGCTAGCCCCCTTGTGGGACAGCAAGAAAAGTTCAGAGAGTCGGTTTCTGAGAAACGGGACTTTGAATCATTTTTCCTCCTAGAGAATATGGGCTATCTTCTCTTTACCCCGCCCCTCTAAGATGCCTTCTCTTCAGTCCTTAGAGATGGAAAACTCTTCAGTGATTTCTGTTCCCTTCAGGGGCCTCTCTTTATTCTAGCTTTCTGATCATCGGGTTCATTACATCGGGTACCTGCTGAGTAAATTCCTCAAGACAACTTTTCAAATTAGATCAACGAACTCATCAATTGTTTGGATTTGCATATAAATCAGTTTTCCCAACTTCGCTGAAATATGAGCAGATGCATAAGCGGCCAAAATGACAGAGCTGCTGGTTCTGTTTTGTTGCCAGGTGTAGGTTTTTCAGCAAATAGTATCAAATTGTTTCAGCAAATGGTATCAAATTGCAGGGAGGGGGGATGATCTTAGCTAAGGATGCCGGGAGAGGGGAAAAATGGCTTAGTCCCACACAATGCTGTTGTAATTTTTGCAGTTATCAAGGGAAATGATGCCTATGAAAATACTTTGAAAAAGATGGAGAAAGTAATGCTAGATAGACATTTTGGACTTTATTGCACGTTTTTGTTTGGTTTGGTTTTGGTTTGCTAAAAAGCAGCGTTGCAGGCTCTGGATTGGTGGTTTGTTTTTTTTTCTATATCTGCATTATACTAAAGTAAAACAAGACAACAGCATCCTGCCTGTTCAAAATTCGGTTATCTGGCAAATAAAGCCTTATAGGATATAAACTAAGGGTGAAAATTAACAAAATGGTAGACTTTCATGCATATTCAAACTCTGGCTCACGTGAAGCCCATGTTCCCTATACACTGTTTGTTGGACATCTTGTCCATTTTTTTTTATTTTTTTTTTTTGGTTTTTCGAGACAGGGTTTCTCTGTGGCTTTGGAGCCTGTCCTGGAACTAGCTCTGTAGACCAGGCTGGTCTCGAACTCACAGAGATCCGCCTACCTCTGCCTCCCGAGTGCTGGGATTGTCCATTCTTAAAGTCCTTTCCGGAGGGACGTCCTTCGTCCTTCAACATGGAACAGGCCCTTCCTGTTCCCCCACAAAATCTGCCGCGATAGTAACGTCCCTGGAGCATTTTCAACACTGCCGATGCTGTAGTTGCCTGTGTGGGTCTCTACTGCTGATGCTGTAGTTGCCTGTGTGGGTCTCTACTGCTGATGCTGTAGTTGCCTGTGTGGGTCTCTACTGCTGATGCTGTAGTTGCCTGTGTGGGTCTCTACTGCTGATGCTGTAGTTGCCTGTGTGGGTCTCTACTGCTGATGCTGTAGTTGCCTGTGTGGGTCTCTACTGCTGATGCTGTAGTTGCCTGTGTGGTCTCTGCCCTTCCCTTAACACTGGAAGCTCTTGTTTGAGCAGGAAGGAAATGGTAATGCTAGATTGTTGGGAGCTGTGAACACCCCCCCCCCCCCCAGATCCTGAATTTCTGGTAAACAACTTGTAATGCTTGCAGCTACTCTGAGCACGAGACCCTCAGGAGTTCCTGATGGCAGGAGAGTGGTGTCTGGTGGGTTTGGCTGGGGCGTGGCTATCAGTTAAGAATCTTTATATAAGCAGCTCTGGTATACAGTAAGGGGGGGGGGGGGCATTTCTGTTTTAAGGATGACCCGTGTCTCTGTCTGTGTGTCTTTGTGTGTTTCATTCTCCAGCCCCTTGCCCCGTTCGTGAACTGTATGGTAGCGTATAGAGTGCAGATGGGCGTGGTGCACTGCACTAGGTGATAATGGAGAAGCAACAGGGTAAGAGTAGGAACAAAGATGTATAACAAGGCGGAGATGTTTCACAGGCCAGTTCTTTGGTATTATAACTCATATATGTATTATAATCTTTACAAATTCTCTCTCTCTCTCTCTCTCTGTATAACCAAATGTTCCAGAATGTGAGAAACTGGACACATGGCTCAGCAGTTAAGAGCATGTACTGCTCTTGCAGAAAACAGAAATTCAACTCCCAAAACCCATGTTGGATGGCTCACAACCGCCTATAACTCCAGCTCCAGGGAATTCTTCTTTTGGCCTACACAGGCACCTGTACTCCAATGCCCCCCCCCCCACACACACACGCATACATATAATTAAAAGCAAAATACAAGATTTTAAGAAGTTTCAGAATGTGTAAATATGGAATTCTTAGCTATAACCGGAGTATATAATCCATGACACTATCTAAAACAAAGATTTGCCATTAACTTTGTTTTTAAAAAATACCTAGAAATTCTCCAAAGGATTCTGTATAAATAAATTCTGATCAAATTCAGTTCGATTCATTTTTTAAGTTGCAGATTTACAGGACACTAAGTCGCCTACCATCTTGCTTGCTGAGTGAGTTAATTCATGCATTTCTCAATATTTGTTTATGCAAACAAGACTTGAGTCGAAAGGATATACAAGTAAACCCTGATTTAGGACCAGCTGTATGGACTTCTCTTCCTTTTCTAACTGTGTTTAGGTTGTCAGGCTGGCAGAGAGCCCCTGCCTTCTTCAACAGAAACTCGCGTGCTCTAGACCATCAAAGATGCCATCAGTGGGCGTTTCTTAAAGATATGTCGGTGCGTGCGTGGAACCCTGCGTGCACTGCTGACTTCGTTTACTCTACTCTCTCGTCAATTCTTTAACTGGTCCCTGCATTTTTCTCACCTCTCAATTAGGTCGGCCAAGCAAGTTGACCACACTGGAGGTATAGAAACTTCCACTGAATTTTAATAGCATTGCACACAAGAGACACGTTTAGGTTTTTTTTTTTTTTCTGGCTGAGATGCTCAAACACATCTTCTTTAGAGAGCTACCCATTTATGACAACCACGTTGAAGAGATTAGTCTCGGAGGAGGGAGCAGGAAGGATTGCTGAGTATTATTCAAATTGTTGCAGGTAATTTGAGTTGTTAGTGCACACAACTGGAAAGGCTGCTTACCTGCCTGGGTACTGAGCTGTCTGCATGCTGATTTAATTGACTATTCATTTGGATGGATACTCATTGTATTCCTACAGTATGAGGTAGAATATGAATGAGAGTTAAAGTTTTGATGATGGGTCAGAGGGAAAGACTCGGCTCTAAGCTTGTGTAAAGCATGGCTTCTAGAGGATGAAGAGATAGCTCAGTGGGTAAGGGCATTTATTGTGCACCCATGAGGGAGGACATGAGTTCAAATCCCCAGCACGGACTTAAGTGTTGGACGTGGCCACACATGATTGTAACTCAAACATTGAGAACCAGGGACAGGCAGATCCAAAGAGGCACAGGCCAGCCAGCCTAGTTGAAACAGTGAGTAACAGGCTTTGTGAGTCCTGGTCTTAAGGGAATATGGTGAGGAGTGATAGAAGACACAATGTCTGCCCCTGGCCTCTGCACACAGGAAAAATGGACATATATGCACACATCACATATATGCACACATCACATATACACATCACATATACACACACACACAACTGATGTGGGATTCCCCTCTGTATGCTGTGAATATGATTGGTTAATAATGAAAGCTGCTTTGAGCCTATGACAGGGCAGAGCAGAGGTAGGCAGGGAAGACAGAACTGAATGCTGGGAGAAAGAAGGGAGGAGTCAGAGAAAAGCTATGTAGCCTGGCCAGAGACAGACACCGGAAATTTAGCCGGTAAGCTGCAGCCATGTGGCGATACACAGATTAATAGAAATGGGTTAAATTAATTTTTAACAGCCAATAAGAAGCTAGAACTAATGGGCCAAGCAGTGTTTTAATTAATACAGTTTCTGTGTGATAATTTTGGGGCTAAGTGGCCAGGAACTTACTAGCAGCTCTCCTCCTCCAACACGCCAACTAATACAGAGAACAATAAAACATCCTTAAATACTCTAAAAAATATATGACACCTACTTTCAAAGAGATGTCTTTCTATCAATTACTCTAAAGTGTTTGTTCATTTTACTTTCAGGTGAAAATAAGGCATAAATTCAAAATTGAAATTGTTACATTATTTGTGATTTAAAGTGAAATAAGCCAGGCACAGGATAAGAAGAGCCTGAGGGAGGGGCAGGACAGGTTGGTCAATGGGAACTGAGTGGCAGAGAAGGGAAGGAAGTTCTGGTCTGCTAGCTCACGGTGGGGGGTTAGGGATAGAGACTGCACAGTGTACCCTGTGTAATCTCGAAACGCTAGAAGAAAGGCTTCTGGAAGTTTTCGTCACAAAGAAGTGACGTAACTTTGAGGACTGGATACACATACTCATTGTGTAATATCAATTCCGATTGTCACCTTCTGTTTCTTCAATATGCATACCTTTTTTATCCAATAGTCAAAAAGTTATTTTATGTAATAGATGAGAACAAAACATGAAATGAAGAGATATGAGAATCAAAGCATATTAACACGACAGAAAAGCTGTCTGGCCCACGGAGGCCAGAAAGGGATGTTGATCCCTTGGAACTGGAGTTGCAGGCGGCTATTAGCGGCTTTTCGGGTACTTCCGAGCAACCCAGGTCCTCTGCAAGAGCAATAAGAGCTTTTTCCAACACTGACCACCTATCTGTGCCTGCTCTTAAAAATCCCTTTTATGAAAATCTTGTTTCATACTGTTTTATCATTAGTCTTTCTCTTTCATTTCCTATCTTTGGTTTAATTTTAATATGTAAACAAGCAGCATGATTTTCTTATTATAAATAATGAGGGTGATTCTCTTTTTGGATTTAGTGATTTGGAGCTACTATTCAGTACAATTGAATTGTTTACTTTGAAGTTTTCACAGACAGGTTAATGCCACGCACGGCACCCCCGTGTCTGCGCTCTGTGCGCTGGCACCCAGTTCCCGAGCTTCGGGCAAGGGGGCTGGAGGTCAAAATACACAGACACACACAGACAGAGAGACAGCGACACGGGTCATCCTTGAATTCCCCAAGAATGCCCCCTTTATTGTGTTCAGGGGCATGCCCTAGCCAAACCCACCAGAAATCACTCTCCTGCCATCAGGAACTCCTGCAGGTCTCGTGCTCAGAGCAGCTGTAGGCACTCAGATCAGGGGATTACAAGAAATTCAGAATCTGGGGTCTCACTGCTCCCAACAGGTTAAGATTGAGGAGAAGTTGTAAGGAAGCAAAGACCACCACCCGCAGCAGAGCTAATGATCTTTAATTCTCTGTTATTATGGCCGAAACATTACCCTTTCGTTTGAAAATTTTCCCACTGATTCACTGAAATGAGGAACCCAAGTTATATTAACGTCAGCGTCCACTTTCAGTTTAATGAAACCATGGGCTCACTTGCTGGTGAAAGAGTGTCTTCCTTGGAATTAAGCCTTTAGCCTCTCTGTTCTAATCTACACAAGTGTTGGGACAGACTGATATTTTAGGATGCATGCGACCCATGGCCCGAAACCTAAAGTTGCAAAGGTAGAAGACAGGAAGCAAACAGTTTGGTAAGGAGTCACTAATGTGACTATGAGAAGAAAAGCTAAAACCTTTGATTTTATGACCAGCGAATCTTTGGTATGAGGTTAATACTAGAGACGAATTGCAGATTTAATACTCATGTCCCATCCTGGGGTATCTCTACCACAGGATGACTTAGTTAGCTTTTAAATGAACCTTCAAAACCAATATTCTAAGGTGGGAAACATGACCAACCCAGTGAATTCCAAGAGCATGTCCCTGTCGTTGTACGATACATTCCTTAGTTAGAAGCATGTCTTGAGCAGTTCCATCCCAGTGGACAGGGCATCCTATAGGGAAATACTGTTCAGTGTCTAGAATTTGCTTTTGTTCAAGTCAGACCAAAGGAACGCCGATGCCTGTAATCCCAGGAAAAAGACCAGAGTCAAGGGTCATCTAGGTGGGGGATGGAGGGGTATCTGGGTCTCAGCTAGACAGATTCTGCCTTCTCCAAAGGCAAATATTTGCGTGCTTGTTTGTAGAGCTCGTTTTCCCCCATTTCTAGGTTGTACTCCCAGAGAGAGTGTGTATACTCCTCAGGTTTGCATCTCCAACAGCACCCACAGGGACGTTTGCCTGGGTTTGATCACGTAAATTACGTTGTTACCGCCAGACAATTAAGACAGAAGAAGCTTCGTACTGAAAGTTCCTGTTTCTTTCACTACAATTAAAGAAGGAAGATGAAAAGCAGTCAGCCATGATGTCAGAAGTGCACTGAAAGTTTTCAGAAAGAAATTGCTGTAAAAGCAAATTCTTTGTGTGCCTGTACATATATTTGTATATGTTACATGTGTGTATGCATATGCGTGCATGTGTTTGCATGCATGGATAATGTACAGTACATGTCTGCACATGTGTGTAGGCCAGATGGCTTTGTCCCCCTTGCTGTAATGTTTGCATGTGTTACATTTAAGAAATGTAGGGAGACTTCTTCCTTCCTTCCTTCCTTCCTTCCTCCTTCCCTCCCTCTCTCCCTCCCTCCCTCCCTTCCTCCCTTCCTTCTTTCTTTCCTTCCTCCCACTTAAGGACGCTATTAGGTAAGAGTACCATATCATTTTGTTATAATTATCGATGTTTAAAGACCATGTGTTCTTCTGGGTGGTGGAGGTGGTATGGTACACATGTGTTGGGCTGTGTATGTATGTGGGAAGTGCACATGTGTGTGTGTGTGTGTGTGTGTGTGTGTGTGTGTGTGTGTGTTTGTGGGGGTAAAAGGTTGTTACTGATCATCTTCTTCCAATATTTTCCTTGCTGGTTTTTGAAACAATATATCTCCTGATCCTAGACTCCTCTGTTGGCTATAAAGTATGGTCAGTGAGCTCTGGGGCCCCACCTAGCTCCATGTTCCCATCACTGTGATTACAGCTGTGTGCTACCGTGCTTCACTTTTAACATGGGTGCTGGGGATCCAAAGTTGGGTTCTTATGCCCGTGTGTCAAGCCTTCTACCACCTGAGATGCTTCCCTGTCCCTCAAGGTCATGTTTCTATTCTCAACTGTGTGTCATTCCACATATATTAGCATTCTATCCATTTCTACAGCTAGACATCAAACTTGCTCTCGATTCTGTTATAGTTTTGTCTTCCTGTCTGTTCCTACTCAGTTCCCCAGAACCCTTTATATGCATTTGCTAAACTTCTTATTGAACGGAATGTATTATAATCCATTCTGAATTAAGTGCGGTATAAATAAAATAATTTTGGCATCTTCAAAGTGGGAGCTGCTGGTCTCTGGTTGGGCAAATAAGAAAAGGATGTGGGCATGTGCATTTAGGATGGACTTGAAAAATTAGCAAAATTTTCAAAACTGGATTGAGGAGCATTAAAAACACAAGGGATATCAAGAAATCAAGCTTTTTTTTAAAGCCACAAAAAATGAAAGATTACATTGGTAGAATATCTCATAAAATTTAGCTAGAGTCTTTTTTTCTATACACCGAAAATGTGCTCAGTTATCCAATTAGGACAGATTACCACTTATTCAGAATATGCATGGTTCAATGTTCTAATCTTGTTATACAAAGGGATTTCTATCTTTCCTTTTGGTTTGAGGGAGGGAGTTGCAGAACATAACCAGTTTTCATGTGGGTGGCAGACAGTTCACAGTGTCTAGGGCTCACTTGACACTAGGAGACACTATCCACCATCTCTCTACCATAGAAAAGACCTGGGACCTTGACCCTAGGAGACACTATCCAACATCTCTCCATCATAGGAGAAGATCTTGGGACCTTGGCAAAGTGAAGCACCTTGGTTAAGTTCCACGGCTAGTAAGAGATGGAGCCACTACTCAAAACCAGAAACCAATGGAGGAGCCCTTTTTTCTTAGGACAAAGATACATATCCTCCAACATCAGAAGTCGGGGCCCCTTTAAAGCTTTGGAATGGCCAGAGAGATCAGAGATCTGGAATTTAAGGAATTCATAGCTGACTTGACAAGTAAGGCGATGTCAGATTTCTCAGGTGAGATCCCAGACAAAAGACGGCATGGACGTCTAAGGGATCTCAAGACTGGTTATGAGAAGAGAAATTCGTCCGAAATTCCATACTTTGGGAAATAGAATGTTCTGGATATACAGAAACTCATAAAGTGGACTTGACTCAACAAGGGCAACATTGAGGCTTATTGGTGGCATTTATTTCATTTATCACATGACAATCATGCCACATGGTTTCAGGTCATCCAAGCTGCAAAAAGAACATGTCCCATGTCCCTCCCCAACCTTACCTGTCTGTCTCTTCTGCCTTCCCTCCCTTCCTTTCTTAAGCATATGGAAGTATATATGCTACATGAGCATATGTAGTTGCATGTCTGTCTGTCTGTCTGTCTGCTTGTGTAAGTTCATGGGGGTGAGAATAGGGCTTGATATTGGTGTCTTCTTCCATCACTCTACAACTGAGTTTTGAGGCAGACTCTCTCAAATGAACCCAGAGCTTGCCACTGTTACTAATCTGGCTAGCAAGCTCATTCTGGGGATCCCATGTCTCCACCTCCTTTGCACTGGCATTATAGGTAGGTACCCAAGCCCACAGGGCTTTCAGATGGGTCCTGAAAACCCAAAATCCAGTCCTCAAGCTTGCATGGCAAGTTGCACTAGCTATCTTTCCAAATTCCCCTTTCTTTAACACGTGTTTAAAGATGTAATGCTGGGGGGGAGGGGGGCTGGAGAGATGGCTCAGTGGTTAAGAGCACTGGCGGCACTTCCAGAGGTCCTGAGTTCAATTCCCAGCAATGTCATGGTGGCTCACAACCATTCATAATGAGATCTGGTTCCCTCTTCTGGCTTGCCGGTATCCATGCGGGTAGAACACTGTATACATATTAAATAAATCTTTCAAGATGCAGTACATGTAATACTGGTGCTAACCTGTGTTTTACACATCTTCCTCTCTTAGGAAATTTATTTGTGGTGAGCTTATCTGTGGCGGACCTCGTGGTGGCTATTTACCCATATCCCTTGGTGCTGGCATCCGTCATTAACAATGGATGGAATCTGGGTTATGTGCACTGTCAAATCAGTGCATTTTTGATGGGTTTGAGTGTCGTTGCCTCGATTTTCAGCATCACCGGGATCGCCATCAACCGCTACTGCTACATTTGCCACAGTCTCAAGTATGACAGACTATACAGTAACAAGAACTCCCTCTGCAATGTGTTCCTGATATGGATGTTGACCCTTGTCGCCATTATGCCCAACCTGCAAACCGGAACTCTCCAGTATGATCCCCGGATCTACTCCTGTACCTTCACCCAGTCTGTTAGCTCTGTGTACACGATATCATTGGTGGTTTTCCATTTCATTGTGCCTATGGTTATCGTCATCTTCTGCTACTTAAGAATCTGGATCCTGGTTCTCCAGGTCAGACAGAGGGTCAAACCTGACAGCAAACCCAAACTGAAGCCACAGGACTTTAGGAACTTCATCACCATGTTTGTTGTTTTTGTGCTTTTTGCCATCTGCTGGGCTCCACTCAACTTCATCGGGCTCATTGTGGCCTCAGACCCTGCCACCATGGTCCCCAGGATTCCAGAGTGGCTGTTTGTGGCTAGTTACTACATGGCATATTTCAACAGCTGCCTCAATGCCATTATATATGGACTCCTGAACCAAAATTTCAGACAGGAATACAAAAGAATTATCGTCTCGTTGTGCACAGCCAAGATGTTCTTTGTGGACAGCTCAAACGATGCAGCAGATAAGATGAAATGTCGGCGTGCTCCATTAAAAGCCAATAATAATTTAATAAAGATGGACTGTGTTTGAAAGGCCGGTGGTGCCAGCAAATCACCCACGCTGGCCGGTGGTCTCACCGCTTTCTGTACCCATGCTGGCCCGCGGTCTCACCGCTTTCTGTACCCACGCTGGCCCGCGGTCTCACCGCTTTCTGTACCCACGCTGGCCGGTGGTCTCACCGCTTTCTGTACCCACGCTGGCCGGTGGTCTCACCGCTTTCTGTACCCACACTGACTGGTGGTCTCACTGCTTTCTGTGTTTTCTTTCTTTTGTCTAGAAATCAGAATAGTTCGACTTGATGCTCATTAGGGTGGTCTCTGTATTGCTGGAACTAACCCACCTTCTGCAGTGCAGGCATCACCCCTTACCTGTGACGGAATAAAAATAGTCACGGAAACTCCGTCTGTGCTGAACAGGGGCATGGTTCTTCTTCTTGTCACCATCTCCTCAATGATACAGCGTAATGTTTATAGTGTACTAAGCATTGCATGTAACCCAGCAACGATTTAAAGTGCTGTATGTGTAAGGGATATGGGTCAGTTAGCTACAAACTCTGCCTCAATTTTCTCTAAGTGCTGTGAGCATCTTCAGGTTTCCAGATGCTTGGTGTTGGGGACCCTGGAACTAGTCCACAATAGATACAGAGCGATGACTCTGATTTCTTTCTCCTCACATCTTCCAAAAGATCTCTAACAGCGAAAAGGGTCACCTGTTTTATTCGTAAGTGAGTGTGTGGAATAGTAAGGGGAAGTGAGATGAAAGCCTCCTATTAAGAGCGAAGAGTTGAAAATGAATCTACAAATGACCCCACAGCCATAGCAAGAACCTTAGCAGCACACACCGCCCAGCTGGCAGATTCACAGTACTGGGCACCTCTATGGATAATCCAAATATTTGCTACCCTGCATCGTGCTGCAGGGGTCAATGGGCCAGGAACTCCTATACCATAAAGCTTGAGTCAGACGTCAGTTATTGTACTGTTTGAAGGCACTAGCTAAGTACAAAGATTTATTCAACTTTGTTAGGCATGCGACCTAGTGTTCTGTCCCTACTTTGTATTTCTGTGGATTGACTGGATTATCCAGACACTTCATTGAAAAATGAAGGGTTCAGGAGAACTTAGGGACAAGTACAGCAAGTGCTCTTGATTGGTGATCTGATTGGATAAGTAATTTAAACCAAATAGCTCTTGCCTGACAGAAAGTGCAAAACCAATACTCTTCAGTAATTCACTTCTGTATTTGTTTGTCTCAAGATTTTGGGGCTTAGAGTGTAAACCAACAAACAAAGCATGTTAGACAGAACTCTGGTTTTATAAAAGCTGGCTCTGCATCACCCCAGACATCTGCTAGGGGCTACTGTGGTATTTTTACATGCGATACGTTGCTGCAAATTATAGGTATATTTTACCATCGTGTTAAAGACCTATAACAAAACTGATACATAAAAGGATAAGTTGATGACTGTACACACACACACACACACACACACACAGATAAGCAGGGCAAAAACTTTATTTTGATAAATTTGTTGTTATCTGTATATCTACATAGAATTTCCTTGGGAAATTTAGAGATTATAGCGTAAGACTTCTCTAATCAACCCCCCCCACACACACACACAAATGTAGAAAATATTCAATTATTTGGGAGGCAGTTGTTGTTGGGGTATACATACCCACAATTTTTAAGACCTTTTACACATTAAATTATGTGAATGCATGTGTGTTCTGTGTGGATGTATGTGCACATGAGTGCGGGAGCCCTTGAAGGACAGAGACATTGGATTCCATTGAAACAGAAGACACATGCCGTTGAAAGTCACATGGCCTGGTGCTGGAAACCAAACGAGAGTTCACTGCAGGAAAAGTACAGGCTCTTAACTGCCTAGCCATCTCTTTCATCGTATAAGCACAAGCTGTATCTTCAAAATGTTACCCAATTGTTTTATGTTCAAAATTTCTATTTCTTATCCAAATAAAATTTAAGTAGCTGAAATCATATTTAACATCATATCGGGACATATCACAAATTCTACATTTACACCATGCTCTGAACAAGTGAGCTGACTGCTAAGAATATATTATAGTAAGTGTCTTCATTGTCATATAAAAGAATACCATCATTTGTTCAGAAATGACTTGATAGATATTACAGATTGAGGGGAATAATTTAATTTTCCCAATTGCACATTTTATTCCTAAGTATGTACATGTGTGTATGTGTGTAAATAATTTACATGTTTAGACAATGGCATTCCCCTCCTTATATCTTTAGACTTTTATGTATTCTTGGAGGATATTGGATAGGATAAATCAATCTTAAATATTAAAATTCATAATTGCTTATTGAATAAGCACACTCATACTGAATGTCATAATAAATAATAGTTTAGAATTTTTTGGACTACCTCTGGTGCTGTTACCAAATATTTAACAGTGAACAAGCAGACCCATTTGGAATGTAGTAAATATATTTCCAGTCAGTTTAAAACACCCAATTATTATTTATTATGTTTCCTGAGCTTAATAATTGTGTGTGTGTGTTTTATGTGTGTTTGTGTTATTGGAGATTAAACACAAGACCTTATAAATTTTAGGCAAACAAAGCTGTGTTTCCAGTCACTCTTTTCCTTATTATTTTGATGGGGTCTCACTAAACTTCCTAGACTGGACTTGAACCTACTATGTAACCCATGTAGGCTTTGAATTTGTAGATGCTTCAGAATTGGCCTTGAGAATAGCTGGAGTTAGATGCCAGCACGACTGTTAACTAGTTGCATAATTTTAAGTAACTTTTTTCTTTAAAACAATAACTCATAAAATTTCTTCTTCTATCCTACTTTTATTTTCTTTGACTTTTATGTTTCAGAACAAAACAGCTCCGACTGTAGAATGTTCTTGGATAGTGAAATTACTGTACTCTCTGCACTTCTTGGCTGCTGGTCACAGACACTGGAAGTCTGTGATGGTGTGTTCCTGAAAATTTACAGGATAAATGCAAGTGGCTTGGTCATCACTATTTACATTGATAATAAATGAGTGTTTATTTCATCAAAGGACAAAAATTGATGGTAAACCAACTTTTGGCATGTTTGTGTGCATATAGGTTCATACTGTGTGCATCTCCCAGCTAACTGCTTTGTGTCGAATTTGTAATGTTGGTGTTGTTGAGGGATATGAATGGTTTCAACAGCTTGGAAGAGTCAAGGATTCTGAGCTATATTGTTAATGATGGTAAAATAATGGCATATTTCTACGAAATAGTACCTTTATTATGAGGATACCTTTCTTTGTACATAGTTCACAAATACAACACTCACTAAAAACCAATTCATTACTATTGCTTTAGACATCGGACAATGGTCATGTCTTTTCCTGTGTCAATCTGGTGCTCCATTTTCTGATAGAACACTCACATTTCTGTGTTAGGTGTAATTATATCTAATTTAGTAACACAAGGTGAAGAAACTGTTTTGAATAACACAAAATTAGAGGTGCCTTTCATTCTTGTGATGATGATCAACAAACCCCTAAAATCTCTCGAGATTTGGTGTATCAAGGAACAAATGCCAGATGAGCATCAACGCTTATAATGCAGGACTAAGAATCGTATCAATGAGTGCATTTGCATTGTAGGGAATAACTAGTAAATATTTTTTTCATTAACGTTGTGACTATTGAGCTAGAGGGTCCATGCTTAGTTCAGTAATGTTTGGATAATTCAAAGTAGCTTAATATACAATGTCAATTTGAGTTCTGTTATTTTGTTCTTTCAACTGTTTTCTTATCGTCTGTATACATTTGAATAAAACCTTAAGAAGTTCTTTAATACCAAATTTATATTTCTGAAAATATGCCCATTATCTTGTTGATTTTTTTTTACTTCTTTTTGCTTATGTGTGCACCCTATCGCTGTCAGGGATGAATTACAGTGCAATCTTTGACAGCAAATACTTTGTTTTGCTAAAAAGTTACATGTGCGAGTTTGTGTGAACACATGTATAAAGATGAATATGATTTACTGTTGCTCTCAGTGTTCAGTATGTCTTCTATTATCTGCTAGCAATTAAAAGTCAATTAAGAATAGAGGGTGGTAATTTCTGCTGTCCTCAGCAGTCATTCATCAACTTCTTGTCATAGCATGAGGAGGGGAAGCCAGGAAAATAAAGAACCCCTGCTGACTGGTTTTACGTCAAATTGACAGAAGCTGGAGTCATTGAAGAGGAAAGAGCCTCCACTGAGAAAATATCTCTGTAAGATCAGGCTATAGGCAAGCTGGGATGCCATTTTCTTACTTGGTGATTGATGGGGAAGGGCCCAGCCCACTGTGCTGGCCCAGCCAACCCTATGCTAGTAGTGTTGGTTTCTATAAAAAAGCAAGCCAAGCAAGCCACGTGGAGCAAGTAGTACCCTCCCATGGCCTCTGCATTAACTCCCGCCTCTGTGTTCCTGTCCTTTTTGAGTTCCTGCCCTGACTTCCTTCCCTAATGGATGTCACTATGGAAATATAAGCGAAATGAACCCTTTCCTTCCCCAACTGGCTGGTAGTCAGCGTGTTTCATCATAGCAATAGTAACCCTAATGAGGACAAACCCCAAAATGCAGTGGGTGAATCTTGAGCTTTCATGCCTCATCTCCACTCATGTTCACTAATGAGATGGACATATGTCAGCAGGACTTCTGTAAAGGATTATGGTTCCCTCTTCATCTAGCCCCAAATTCTCAGACAGTTAAGAAGCTTATGGTAAAGTTTTACTTAACTCACTAATAAGAAGACCTCAAAAATGACAGAAAACAAAAACCAAAGATGAAAAGAATAACATTGACTTCAAGAGTCACCAGAGAAAGCAAAATAAACCAGGCACAAAAACACAAATACTATATGCTCCCACAAATGTGTGAAAAACTAGTAATTTGGTCCTAAGAAGTAGAGAGTAAAATAACACAAGTGTTTCAGCAAGAGAAAACGGGGTGGGGGTGTAGAGAAGTGTCATTTGATACCAAATAGAGTTAGATCTGGCAATAAGTT